TATATATATATATATATATATATATATATATATATATATATATATATATATATATATATATATATATATATATATATATATATATATATATATATATATATATATATATATATATATATATATATATATATATATATATATATATATATATATATATATATATATATATATATATATATATATATATATATATATATATATATATATATATATATATATATATATATATATATATATATATATATATATATATATATATATATATATATATATATATATATATATATATATATATATATATATATATATATATATATATATATATATATATATATATATATATATATATATATATATATATATATATATATATATATATATATATATATATATATATATATATATATATATATATATATATATATATATATATATATATATATATATATATATATATATATATATATATATATATATATATATATATATATATATATATATATATATATATATATATATATATATATATATATATATATATATATATATATATATATATATATATATATATATATATATATATATATATATATATATATATATATATATATATATATATATATATATATATATATATATATATATATATATATATATATATATATATATATATATATATATATATATATATATATATATATATATATATATATATATATATATATATATATATATATATATATATATATATATATATATATATATATATATATATATATATATATATATATATATATATATATATATATATATATATATATATATATATATATATATATATATATATATATATATATATATATATATATATATATATATATATATATATATATATATATATATATATATATATATATATATATATATATATATATATATATATATATATATATATATATATATATATATATATATATATATATATATATATATATATATATATATATATATATATATATATATATATATATATATATATATATATATATATATATATATATATATATATATATATATATATATATATATATATATATATATATATATATATATATATATATATATATATATATATATATATATATATATATATATATATATATATATATATATATATATATATATATATATATATATATATATATATATATATATATATATATATATATATATATATATATATATATATATATATATATATATATATATATATATATATATATATATATATATATATATATATATATATATATATATATATATATATATATATATATATATATATATATATATATATATATATATATATATATATATATATATATATATATATATATATATATATATATATATATATATATATATATATATATATATATATATATATATATATATATATATATATATATATATATATATATATATATATATATATATATATATATATATATATATATATATATATATATATATATATATATATATATATATATATATATATATATATATATATATATATATATATATATATATATATATATATATATATATATATATATATATATATATATATATATATATATATATATATATATATATATATATATATATATATATATATATATATATATATATATATATATATATATATATATATATATATATATATATATATATATATATATATATATATATATATATATATAAGCAAGCATGTAGAACACTACTAAAATAGAGGAAGATGGGCAAAGAGATGGAGGGCAGGAAATCTTAAAACCTTCAACTAAACAACAAAAACAACCAAATCCAACAATAGAATACCACCAAAAAGAGCTCTCTAGTTTCTCTACAAATTCAATTAAAAACAAATCTTGAACGAATATGCATAGATTCTCAAGAGAACCACAGTAAACAAACTAACCATAATAAATAAATAAATAAGAAAAAAAAAAGTATAGAACAATGTAAAATGAAAAAAGAATGACGTCCTTCCATCGATCCCCAAGATAACAAGAACACATGTCAGAGCCTTATATAAAAATTAAGTAAAAATATCTTGAGTGTTTGTGATATACAACTTCATATGCAAATATTTATGTTGTCTAGTAGCAAACAAACCTTATAGACTCTGAAACATTTCGACATGCATTCTCGACTCTCAGTATCAAATCAGCAATAGGCATCAGTCCTGTAAAAAAAATACAATAAAAATTACACGATTTCTTTCTACTTTTTTTGGTATAGAATGATGACAAAAAAATTGCATTTGCATCAACAAGATCCATTCTTCTCCTGAGAGAAATGGGAGCAACTAAAATGCCCAGGAAATAAACAGACAAGCTTACTTTTACTTTGTTAATAATACAGAGTTTAAATTATAACAGAGAAAGAAATAGTGTTCATCTTATAATATCAGCCATTATGCTCCAGCAGATTCCAAACAAATAAGAGCAAAAGATAAGAAAAAGGCTCCCTTATTTGCAATTTCAAGCTTCAAATCGATAATTTTGTATCCACATTTACAGAATGAGAAAATGAAGATGAATGAAATAACTTTTTCCGGGTACTAGGGTACATAAATAAAAACATACTTGCATTACCTTGTAACGAAGAATCAAGCAGAGATGCAAACAAAGTAAATATTGTGTCCGCACCATCTCCCAATGTGTCACCCTCTGTCTTACAAGCCTTTAATGAGTAGCGAACAGAATCAAAACCAGCATCCATACCAGGGACACCAGGAACGCCAGTGGACAACCTCCTCCTAGTGGAATATGGTGTCTTCTCTTCCAAGTATTCAGCATCATAACTCTCAACCTCTTGTTTAATATTTTCAAGAACAAGTGCTGCATTAGTAGGACTATGGATGCTTTTGCCATCATATAACAACCCAGTTTCACTCAACTTGGAAGCCGAGTTGTCCAGTGGGATTGAAGCACCTGAAGTTGAGTGCCTCTTCCTGCAAAATTGCATTATAAAAAATTGACACAAGTTTACAGAATACTATTAAAATCCAAGCAGGACAACATTTTGCAGCTACAGAAGACGTAAAGATGAAGCAATAGATCAAATCACGATGTTCTCTCAGTGTTTTAAAGGGTGGTCAGCCCCAAAGGAGCTGTAGTTGAATAGCCACTACTTTGAAAAAAAAAAATCATATAGTTTATATAATGCATTCTATATTCCAAAAAACATTCGGTGGTTCCATATAACATCAAACACACCAACCCTCCACAATACACAAAATGCAGTTCGATAACTCAAAAGATGAAACCACGACAAATGTAGGCGAATTTAACAACTCAAGAAACTATTAGAGCGTCATTATAAGCTTTCCTCCAGTCAATCCTTCAACACTAACCTCACTGTTTGGCTTTCCCAATGTTTGGACAAACTTGTCTATAGGCTAAAATTAGTCTATCAACAAGTTTAAATGCAAAACTTTAGAAAAAGTTTGATGAGAGAGCTACATATTACTGTACGCATAACGAATTTTAACTTATGGAGAAGTACATTTCCTTTTTTTTCCCTTTCTCTCCTAGAAGTCGTTACAAAGAAACTTGCCCAGAAAAACCCAAAATAATTAAAATTATATCAAGTGTTCAGATTCGAAAAAACTTTCGACACGAACTATTGCTTTGAACATTTTGCCCCTTTTTTTTCTAACTGAAAAACTCAACCTAAACCTGCTCGATTGGTGAGAGGCATAAACCCTAATTGCACAAAACCCCGGCGCCTCCGAAGTAAAAGTAAAACATACGGCAATTTGTTTAAATGTGATAAACGAAGATTGAAGTTAAGAATTCGTTAATCAGAGAGTGACACTGGTTTGAATCGAGAGAATGAAATACGATACCCATATCTGCGGAACTGTTGTCGCGAAGAGAGATTCTGAGGGTCGAAGAAACTATCACCGGGATTCGGAGAAGTGTCCATCGCCATTTCTTCTTCCATTGGAAATTAAGAATTTGAGGTGACTCAGTGAGTGAGTGAGTGAGCTTAAACCCTCACTCAGCGCGGGAAGGTAATGGTGAGGTTTGGCTAAAACCCTTCTTCGTTTACGTTGCGTCTCGTGGATTCAAGTCGCGTCAACTTCACCCTCACACTCTTCGTTCACATTCACGCGCCAATGTTTTTAAAGACTAAACCAAATTTAGCCCTCATTTCGCGAATGTAACATGTATAGGTTTTAAGATTAAATTTATTAATTATTGTTATTTACTTCGCTCTATGAAATTCTGTAAAACTCGTCCTTTGCATATAGTTCATAACTAGGTTTTTATAATTATTTCTTGCCTTGGCTTGATATTTCTTTATTTTATGTAGTTAATAAGAGTGATAAGAAATTGAAAAAATGTCCCTTTTATACATTTTTTCTATGATTAATTACCATTACTTGTAAGCTAGGAAAATTAATATTACGAAATATTAAACCGATTAAAATGGAAAATTAATATTACCGAAAATTAAACCAATTAAAATGGATATTTTAAGAATAAAATTGTAACCGAAGACAGATTCAAAAACAAATAATATTAAGGATAATTGATTATGAAAAGATGAACATTCACTGATGCCCAAATTAATAAAATAATTTGAGTCAACATAGCTTCTGTGTGGGAGTTTTTTTTTCCACACCTTCAAGTTTTCTTATTTTAAAATTTATCTTATTTTATACTTGATCTATATGTTTTATTTATTTTCATTTGATTAATAATTTTGTATATGAATTATAAATCTATTATTAAAAAAATTAAATAATTAAAAAAATAAAATTAATCTATTTCAAAATTCGATGAAGACAGAATCTGATTTTGAAATTTGATTTTATCAAAGTCGACTTCCAAAATAAAAAGTTTTACCATAGATAATTTTTACATTATGAAAAAATTGAAGGTGAAAAAATTGGAGGTATAGGAAGAAAGCTTGGGAGGTGCAGGCTCTCTTCTCTATTATATTTCATGTAATGAAATGTCATTGGCTCAAAAACTGAGATATACAGAATGGACAAGTAGGTATTATGTTTTATAATTCCTAAACAATCCTTGGCCTCCAAGAACCACCATGGAAACCACCCCAAGTCACCACCATAAATATTGACACACTCTAACTAAGAAGCTACCATGGCCACCATAACTAAATACCAAGAAAACCTACTCTAATCCACCAAATACTCACTCCATAGCTCTCTCCCTATCCATATGAAGTCAAGGTACCAAAAACCAAGCCAAATGAGCTTCTACAACACAAACCTCAAAGTTGCCTCCTCTCCCAAGCCTCCACAAAACCTTCCATGATTCTTGACTTCAATACCTTCAAGTCACTAGTCCAAAGCTAGACCTAGTCAACACTACTGAGACTAAGATAGCCCACCCAAGCTGAAACCTCCTTGGTTCTACATGAAATCAAGATTTGCACAAGGTTTGAGTCCAAGAAAGTGTATCTTGAATCATGAGGCTTGAGTATATAGATACACACTCTCTTGAGCCCAACAAAGTCTCCATCTCCTTTACTCTAGAGTAATTGTTTTCCAGACTTCCACAGTATGTAGATATCCAAACTACTAGACGGTTTTGCAGCATTGATTCTTGAATTTGAAGAAGCATTGATATCCATCAACTACATATCCAAATGTTGAACAATTCCCCCTGGCTGTGAACGAGTGATTTCCAAGTCCACTTGCACATCTATCCAAGACTTTGCCATTGCCCAACATGCTGACTGCAAGGTTATGTGATACACTGTAAATAAGGCTTCCAACAATGATAGTACAATGGAAAAAACTAATAAACAAAACAGTTCTTCATATTCACATGGGAGTGAAACACATTAGAATTAGAATCTATCATTCAAGGATTAACTATGTCTACCATGTAAACATATTTCACTCAAACTCTAATCGTTTTAAATCCTGCCACTCAGACATGTTTAGTGGGGAACAAAATCCATATAAGCCAAGTTGATGCACCCACCCAGAGGTATTAACGTCCTATAAAACCTTCAAATATTCCACATGGTTTGTTTCTCAATTCTTTTATAGAAAGTAAAATAAGAAAATCCTTAATATGAACAGAAGAGAATGCAAGAGAAATTTGGAGGATATCGAGTCATTCATAGTGAATAAAAGGTAAATAAAACAACAGAAGTATTATGTATTTACACCAAATAACAGCAGGTCATGTAATGTTATCCCATTTCAAATGGTGGGCCAAAGAAACCTACTTAAAAATAATCGCATTGCAATCAACCCAAATGTAACAAATAGTAGCATAGAATACACATTTAAACTATAAAATTAATCACCAAAAATTGGTCTAGTTTAAATACCTAGGTTACAGTCACACCCAACATTCAACAAAAAGACTAAAGAATGTATTCCTAAAAGATACAGTGACAAAGAAATGTCAGAAAAGGTGAGGAATCAATTCTGGAGAAGCTCCAATCAAAAAACACAGACAAGGAAAAAAGCCTTATGTGACCAGCAAACCTTCAACATGACATTATGATAAATTCAATAAAGCTCCATACTTGGCTAAGGAAACCAAAAACAGAGACTATGATTAAGAAATGACACATACTAAAACCATGATACATGAATCAAATGTGGAATTCTACGTAAAAATGGAATGTCAAACAATATAAAATTTTTCAACAGTAAAAGTCAAGAAAGACATAAAAAGATTAAATAGACATGGTAAAGCATCTTTAAAAGAGAAAAATTTTGGTCCATGAAAACCAATATTCAGTTTAAGTTGATTAATTAAGTTGCTTGGTCTAATTATATTTTCCAAGTTTTCCTTCAAGGTTAAGTAATAAGAAAGTACAACACTGAACAATAAGTAATTGAAATTCCACCACCAATCCTTGGAAGATAAAGTTAGGTAAGCAGTTAGTTATGTGAGTCTAAGAAATAGAATGAGATATGTAAATGTTCCGGTAGCTAATCAAACCCGTTGAGGGTGGGTTTTATGCTATAAGACTTGTAGCTGTATGCAAATAGAAGAGGGAGTGAGAGGAATTCCGTCTTGTCATTTTGAGATGATTGAGGGCTTTGGGCATTGAGAGATGCAGAGCCTCAAAGTTCTGCAATTATACAGTGGGAATTTTAACGTAAAGCTTTGTGAATGGCAGGCTAGTCGATAGCTCCCTAAAGAACAGGATGTAGCAGCTTGGGGGCTAAGACTATTGTATCACATCATTGCATACAGATGCTATAATGAATTTTCCAACCCTTTAAAATATTGTGATATCTCCCCCATTTTAGGAAGCTGAAACATTATAGGGTTTTAAACCTTTTTACTTCATCATTTGAGTTCTGTTTCAAAACAATCTGTTGTCTGTTACTTACAAAAGTCTCTACCTGGTGATTGTATGTTTTTAAATCTAACTTAACCTCATAACACTAATTTGTAAAATGAAGTTAGCATTCACTTATATACTATAATTTGATCATATTCTTACTCAGTGTGCAATCTCACATACCCCTCCCAGCGGAGGATTAGGCATCTCAAGCCATAGTACAAAACATCCAAATGGTATATTTCCAATTAAACTCCAGATTGAAACCGAGGAAACCCACCTGAGACAAGGAAATTAAGTTACAACATATCCTATTCAAGCTCAAAAAATGGTATGATAATACCGGTTGTGCAGCCTAAGTTTCAAAATTTTATTTATGCTGCCAAATAAGTCATACCATGGCAAGAAAATAATGGAAAAGGTATGGTGCATTGTTGAAGTTTATAAATTCATAATAGATAATATATTAAAAATACTTTGTAACTATCTGGATCAGAAAACCTAGATGGTTAAACTGAACTCATAATTTGTTTGAAAGAATATATTATGTATGTCTATCAGTAGGCGTTTGAAAAAAAAAATACTGAATGAAGATAGCATATATCTTCAATTTATCAAGCATACATGTTCAATTTATCAAGCATATGTCTCCAATTTATTGAACAAAACACAACAAAAGAACTTCACTTTAATGCAAAGGAAAATCAATTACTTTTGAAGCACCACATTGAGGAAAAAAAAATCAAAAAGATTGATTATATAGTAGACGAAACCCAAAAGTCAAAACTAAAAAGTGCCGTATAAAAAACCTAAAACTAAGAAAGAACTGGGGATAACACACAGTTAAAAGTCCAACCATTTCTGATAATACTGACAATTTGTTGGGGATATAATACCATTGGGTGTACAAAATTTAATCCTAGGACAAACCCCACAAGGAATAGAAGCCATGGCACCAACTTTAACATTGGTGCCTATCTTTTTCGCCAACCTAAAACAAACTTCACCAGCAGGAACAGATGAAAAATCCCCAAAGCCAGTGCTGTTCACCTCTTGTAACTTATTTTCCATAACCAAAACTTTCAAAATTTGTTCCACCTGTCCTGGACTGACTCCACCAGGAAAAACCTCATTTCCTAAGGTTCTAGTCCACTCAAGGATTGCATCGCGGGTAGCGATCTTTTTCCGAGAAATAAGCTTCAAGCAGACATCAGACAGAGCATCGATGAGCTGTGTGTCGAGCCTGCCTTCGGTATACCACTCTCCACCAGTGATCTCCTTAGAGGGCTCGAATTCCATGGCCATCAACACCTTCTTGGACTTGTTTTGGATGTTCACAACTTCCTTGATAAGAGTCTTGGAGATTAGCAATTTGATCGATTTCTTCAATATGCTGTCAGGGATGTTGGTTTCTCTTTTGATGTCCCCTTGCCAAATCCCCATCTCCTTCTTCCCGCGAATGATATTGTAAATCACCCGCTCCTCGTTCGTCATCGACGCAGAGAGTGCAGAAGCCAGGTCTTGGCGCTTCCGTTTCCCTTGCAAGATGCTCATCGTTCTTGATGACACTAAGTCTGGAAACTGTGTACACAAAACATTCAAACGCAAATATACGATTGTAACTATGGAATGATTGTGTTTTGAGTAAAAAATCCCAAAGATCAAGGGAATATAACCTAAACATGGTCTAAACAGTAAGTCAAAATCACAAATGAAATAGATCTCTTATCTAGATGACCGGAGAAAAAATCCGTGACAGAACTCAACAAAAAAAACTCCAAAGATGTAACAATTTCCACTGTTCACATTGATTTTTCAACCGAAATTATTAATCAAACTAGAGTTACTATGCCAGACAATTGCAACATAAGACAGGGTTATACATCCTTAAAAGAATAGAATAATCTACGAATCACTGAGCCAACTAAATCCAGAAAACTCACGTATTATTATTAGATCCCATCCCCAAAGCTGGAAAATCAGAAGAACAGATACGTATCAGTTTTATGGTTGTGCGGCATTAGCCAATCCAACCAATTGATGCAACTTATTTACTTTTCTACATTGTAACCAAATAGTGGCAATAAAACAAAAGACTTTAAAGCTTTGTTAGTAGACAATGATTTTGACATCTAACCTCCTCCCCATAAATTCCTTAGCGCAACTACTTCTTCATTACTTTTGTGTGTAATAATCTCTACGAAACGAAAAATAACACTGGATGAAACATCACTCACCTTTGAAAATAAATAAATAAATAAATAAATGCAGCTTTTCTATTTTCTTCCATAGGTATAAAAAAAAATCAGTTGAGTTAGGCACATTTAATGTAGTTGAACACCTCTCCCAAAAATGGTTTAAGAAAAACACGTAGAACAGCAAAATCATGCACATGACAAGAAAAACAGAAAAGTGTGAATTAATCGAGAGACGCCGAACTCAAATTGCGATTGCTTATAGGAATATCAAATCCAATCGAAACGGTTGCGCATTGGTGACCTTACCTGAGACTTGGAATTGTGAGATGCGCCTTCGAGAGATTGGGGAATTGACTTGGGGCGAAATCTAGTGCCCGTCTTGGAGACCTTAAAGGAGGCCAATTATATGAGATTTAACGAAATAAAGAAGAAAACATAAATTAACAAACTGGAAAAAAAAAAAAAAAACCTGGATCAAGATGAATCCTTTGACGAGAGATAGCGTTCTCAGAGAGACAGTGAACAGAACGAGAGAATGAATGCTGAGAGAGATTTCTTCGAGCGGGCGCTATAGTTGTATGTGGCGGAGAGCATGGTTTCAATTTCCTTCTTTTCTACTGAATTCCCAAATACCTCTAAAAACTGTTTATTAAAGAATTCAAACCTTAAAATATATAATTTATTGTTGATGTTGGTAGATATACGGTTCTCTAATACTTTTCTTAAAACATTCATATTCCGGAATTATAATAATTAAGTCTCGATAATTTAGACAGAATTAGTGTATTAATAATTTTGAATAGAAAAAATAAGAGTAAATTAGTTTCTAAAAAGAGAAAATTGCATATTGTCTGAGCATGAATATTTTTTAAACTTAATTAAACATATTTTTAAATTTGACTGATGATAAAAAGAACATTTTAAAAATTAATTAAGAATAGTTATAATTAATGATTGAAAACTAAAACAATCAATTGAACTAACTGTTAAAACGAAAGCAAGACTTCTTTTTCTTTGTTTTTTTTTCTTTGAAAATTTTAAAAATACATTACTGGAATATTTTTTATGATGAAATAATTTTACCAAGATTTCTAATACAATTTTTTGTCTTCAATAAAAATTTCGGCATCTTCTTAAAGAGTTCATTTAATTTGTATAACAGAATACAAATTTATTAACAATTTTATAAAAAAGTGTGCCATTAAATTTCAGAGAACTCTAATAATAAGTTATGTATTTTAAAACTTTCTAAATTATATTTAATTTTACTTTATTGTACTATTTTTTATAGTTATTAATGAGTTTGCCGCTCTCCATACATTATCTAAACAAAAGACTAAAATTCTAGTACATGTAAAATTTTAATATATAAACTTAATTATAAAAATTAAGATTTCCTTCTAACATTTACATTTAAAATAAAAATAATTTAATAGTTTAAAATCAAGTTATTACATTAAAATCATCGGGGGGAAAGAGAAACAATAGATACGTAAAGAAAAATCTGTGACATAAATATGATTTGGTAAAAACTTTAGAGAAAGTAAATTGTTGATTTGGGTTTAGTTATTAGTGGTAGAACGAAGAAGCCACACCCACCTTACGACTAGCAGAGTGATTGTGCATTGAAATATTTAATAAATACATAACAGCATCTATAGACAGGATGATGATATTGATGACAAGCATCGCATAGTAACACCCAAATGGGTGTGAGAAGAAAAATGTCAGGGTAGACAATCCCTATTAAAATCATAAACACTCATCACTACTAAGTAGAAAACCGCATACATGATACAAACCCATACAAATGTTTGCTCATAATTATCTAATATGGCAGGTGTAACTACCAAACCACCGTGAAGTGAAAAAGGGTAAAATGTAAAAGCTCCCTAAAGTTTAACAGGAATCAATGTGCAGCAGGCAGGATATATAATAGTTGCATAAACCACATCAAGAGAAGCGCGGAGTGTTACTGGTAATACATCATTTGCTGTGCAGCTGCAACATTCTGGAACCCACCATCATATATTGCTTGGCTGGCTCCAATGGCCGCTGCTTGTTTAAGAGAATGTTGGCTTTGGGGATGCATCAAGGCAGCATGCACGCTCCCCATCTTACTCATGGCTAGTTGTCGCTCGTATGCCAAAAGATCGTTTGGAGACAGCCCAGGCAGAGATGCAGCAGCAGGTGGGGGAAGGGGATTTGAAGCAGTTCCAGGTGGAGTGGGCTTGCTCCCCCAAGAGCACTACATTTTTAACAAAATAATAATAGTCAGAATTGCAGTGTAATATGCAAACTGGGAGTGTTCGGAGGTGGAAAGTTGAGAATTTTGATAATTAATAATTACTTGTTTGACAAAAACCTCTGAAGAGTTCTTAAAATAACCGAAATTTTGCAGAAATCTTTTCATGCAAAATGCAAAATAACACTTACAGTGACAGAAATTAAACCACTTTATCAAATGAAAGAACTTCAATAGCTTTATCCAAACTAATATTTTATAAATGAAAGCAATTTACTTTAAGTAGTTAAATTCCTATGCATTTTAAATTCATTGAAAATTTGAAACCCGTTATTCAAAAACCACCTGATCAAAATAAAATGAAGTATAAAATAAACAACTAAAAGAAATGAATAGGAGAGGGGCCAAAAGGGTTCGTAGGAAATGAAGATATGGTAAAAAAAAGTAGCTTAAGCCTCAAAGGTCCAGACAATTAACAAAATAATATGCAAGAAACTACCATACACAACAGGGAAACACCAGAACAGAATGGTATAAATGTCAGCGGTTCAAATTCAATTGTAGATTTCAAACACACCACAGGATGGATTCTGACTCGGTGAGTTGGAGGTAACTCATGACAGACTAAAAGAGGAAATCAAGCTAAACAATTCCCCCGTCCCTGTCCCTCTCCCAGTGAAAAGAAAAGAATTAAAACAACAAAATATACAAAGCAAAGTTAGAGCCAGCAAAGTATGCCAACGATAAGAACCATGACCCACAACAAGGTACAGAAAAATTACAGAGCAAGTAGCAACAGCATCAAAAGTTCAATGAGATCCACACCTTAATTTGTTTTCCAAGAAGAAGAGATTGGGCATTCCCCATCTGAATAGCCAGAGCTGCTTCAGCATGATTACTGTACCTCACAAAACCAAACCCTTTATCACGCTGGACACGAACCTCCTCTATCACGCCAGCCCCAAGAGAATGGAAGTGGCGATGGAGATCGAGTTGAGTTACCTGTGAATCACCAAGGTCATAATGAATAAAATAGCACCAGATATTGCTATAGAAGTCAACATAACAGCACACAAGTACACATGAAAGTTGTGTTAAGGAAAGTATTTGGAAGCTTATATATTCTTACATTTATAACCGAATAGTCAAAAGTGATAAAAAAAGCTAATAGAGGTAATAAGTGATGTTTGGGCAATGCAAATATAGGCAATGACGTTCAAAATTATTGCTTTTGTTGTGCATAAATCATAATAAGCTCGCAAACTTTTCAAGCAATTGGTGTTTAACGAAATTTTACTGCTCTAATAAAAAAAGACAGATAAAGTTCTTTACCTCTGAAGCAAGGTTACCCACATAAACCGTTGTATACTGAAGATTGTTCTCAGGAGCATCACTATTAGAAACCTCTTTACCATCTTCTGGACAAATAGGATAAAACATGTTGGTTAAATCATGCCTATATAACATCAGTTCACTGGGAAAACAGACAACAACTTGTACAAGCTCAATCATTCATAAAATCATTCTGAGGCATGATAGTTGAATCAGGGTACACATTGTGAATTGGAAGACCTAGTTTTCGAATCATTCGAATTGTATTATGAATTGATTCAAATCATTAATAAAAGATAATATTTATATGCATAAAAGACATAAAAACACAAATTCATGTTCAATGACTAATCATTCGTATTTTAGTTTCTAAAACATCTTATTTCTAAAAGAGATAAGAAAGCCTTATACGAATAAGGGTCCAGATATTAAAATTAATGCTCGAAAAAAAAATGATAAAACTGACATGTACGAAGGTTGCAACAAAATGCTAGAAACCACCCACATCCACCCTCTAATCAAGAATTAGAGAAGCTAAAAATAAAATATTTTAATTCAATGATCTCTATCATTGTTTCGCAAACAATGTCATACTGACCAGATGAGCCATTTGTTAGTTCCACCACACTTTTTGCATCTGAGTTTTGCTTCTCTTCTATACCACCAGCACCTTTAGTTGCCCAGTTACAACGTATTTGTCTACTTCCAAGCCATTTACCTGAAGGACAACGTAAATTGTTTTTGGACCAAAACAAGAAATACATGTGCATAAGAAAGAACATGTGAGCCTGTGACTCGTGCAATTACAAAATGCATATACTCGTAAGAGGTAGTTCTAAAAATTCGACAATACAATTTTCCGTCTAGAATGTAAAATACAAAAAGAACACTACAAGTCAAGATATCAATTCCTATAGAAGAAACTCAATGCACAATTCCTTGCTGTAACATCAATTTTGCATCAAGTGGTTTTGAAAAATCATTGGAGATTAATCTGAATTTAAAGTGGTTCAAGTCTAAGATTGTCAAGTTAATAACAAATTTCTTACCAGTCAAATCATTTATAGCGTTTTGTGCATCCTACAAAAAATTAAGAAAAATACCAAGTCAAAATCATCATAGAGCCTTGTTCCTTAAAATATTCAAGAGTTTAAGAACCAAAGTTGGACCTGTTGACTGCGGAATGAAACAAATCCAAATCCTCTTGAACGCCCAGTCTTCTGATCCCACATAACCCTTGCATCTCTGGGCCACCAAAAATAAATAATTGATGAGCCAAGCTACATTACAATCGAACTTGAAAAAATATCATGACAGAAGTATAATTTTTCTCTATTTTGGATTGATATAGATTGATTCAAAATGAAATACACAGAGGATGACTATTTTACTAAGAAATCATGAGTGAAACTTACGAACAACTGGTGTAGACAGAAAAGCATGCAAACAGTGTAGCATCAGTGACCTCAGGACTTAGATCACCAACAAAAATATTGTAATGACCTGCAAATAAAAGAGCACGGTATATAAGAGTCAAAAGATCCCAAAGGATGNGAACAGCAAAATCATGCACATGACAAGAAAAACAGAAAAGTGTGAATTAATCGAGAGACGCCGAACTCAAATTGCGATTGCTTATAGGAATATCAAATCGAATCGAAACGGTTGCGCATTGGTGACCTTACCTGAGACTTGGAATTGTGAGATGCGCCTTCGAGAGATTGGGGAATTGACTTGGGGCGAAATCTAGTGCCCGTCTTGGAAACCTTAAAGGAGGCCAATTATATGAGATTTAACGAAATAAAGAAGAAAACATAAATTAACAAACTGGAAAAAAAAAACCTGGATCAAGATGAATCCTTTGACGAGAGATAGCGTTCTCAGAGAGACAGTGAACAGAACGAGAGAATGAATGCTGAGAGAGATTTCTTCGAGCGGGCGCTATAGTTGTATGTGGCGGAGAGCATGGTTTCAATTTCCTTCTTTTCTACTGAATTCCCAAATACCTCTAAAAACTGTTTATTAAAGAATTCAAACCTTAAAATATATAATTTATTGTTGATGTTGGTAGATATACGGTTCTCTAATACTTTTCTTAAAACATTCATATTCCGGAATTATAATAATTAAGTCTCGATAATTTAGACAGAATTAATGTATTAATAATTTTGAATAGAAAAAATAAGAGTAAATTAGTTTATAAAAAGAGAAAATTGCATATTGTCTGAGCATGAATATTTTTAAACTTAATTAAACATATTTTTAAATTTGACTGATGATAAAAAGAACATTTTAAAAATTAATTAAGAATAGTTATAATTAATGATTGAAAACTAAAACAATCAATTGAACTAACTGTTAAAACGAAAGCAAGACTTCTTTTTCTTTGTTTTTTGTTCTTTGAAAATTTTAAAAATACATTACTGGAATATGTTTTATGATGAAATAATTTTACCAAGATTTCTAATATAATTTTTTGTCTTCAATAAAAATTTCGGTATCTTAAAGAGTTCATTTAATTTTTATAACAGAATACAAATTTATTAACAATTTTATAAAAAAGTGTGCCATTAAATTTCAGAGAACTCTAATAATAACTAATGTAAGTTATAAAACTTTCTAGTACACGAGTTTTTAAAACTTTCTAAATTATATTTAACTTTACTTTATTGTACTATTTTTTATAGTTATTAATGAGTTTGCCGCTCTCCATACATTATCTAAACAAAAGACTAAAATTCTAGTACATGTAAAATTTTAATATATAAACTTAATTATAAAAATTAAGATTTCCTTCTAACATTTACATTTAAAATAAAAATAATTGAATAGTTTAAAATCAAGTCATTACATTAAAATCATCGGGGGGAAAGAGAAACAATAGATACGTAAAGAAAAATCTGTGACATAAATATGATTTGGTAAAAACTTTAGAGAAAGTAAATTGTTGATTTGGGTTTAGTTATTAGTGGTAGAACGAAGAAGCCACAACCACCTTACGACTAGCAGAGTGATTGTGCATTGAAATATTTAATAAATACATAACAGCATCTATAGACAGGATGATGATATTGATGACAAGCATCGCATAGTAACACCCAAATGGGTGTGAGAAGAAAAATGTCAGGGTAGACAATCCCTATTAAAATCATAAACACTCATCACTACTAAGTAGAAAACCGCATACATGATACAAACCCATACAAATGTTTGCTCATAATTATCTAATATGGCAGGTGTAACTACCAAACCACCGTGAAGTGAAAAAGGGTAAAATGTAAAAGCTCCCTAAAGTTTAACAGGAATCAATGTGCAGCAGGCAGGATATATAATAGTTGCATAAACCACATCAAGAGAAGCGCGGAGTGTTACTGGTAATACATCATTTGCTGTGCAGCTGCAACATTCTGGAACCCACCATCATATATTGCTTGGCTGGCTCCAATGGCCGCTGCTTGTTTAAGAGAATGTTGGCTTTGGGGATGCATCAAGGCAGCATGCACGCTCCCCATCTTACTCATGGCTAGTTGTCGCTCGTATGCCAAAAGATCGTTTGGAGACAGCCCAGGCAGAGATGCAGCAGCAGGTGGGGGAAGGGGATTTGAAGCAGTTCCAGGTGGAGTGGGCTTGCTCCCCCAAGAGCACTACATTTTTAACAAAATAATAATAGTCAGAATTGCAGTGTAATATGCAAACTGGGAGTGTTCGGAGGTGGAAAGTTGAGAATTTTGATAATTAATAATTACTAGTTTGACAAAAACCTCTGAAGAGTTCTTAAAATAACCGAAATTTTGCAGAAATCTTTTCATGCAAAATGCAAAATAACACTTACAGTGACAGAAATTAAACCACTTTATCAAATGAAAGAACTTCAATAGCTTTATCCAAACTAATATTTTATAAATGAAAGCAATTTACTTTAAGTAGTTAAATTCCTATGCATTTTAAATTCATTGAAAATTTGAAACCCGTTATTCAAAAACCACCTGATCAAAATAAAATGAAGTATAAAATAAACAACTAAAAGAAATGAATAGGAGAGGGGCCAAAAGGGTTCGTAGGAAATGAAGATATGGTAAAAAAAAGTAGCTTAAGCCTCAAAGGTCCAGACAATTAACAAAATAATATGCAAGAAACTACCATACACAACAGGGAAACACCAGAACAGAATGGTATAAATGTCAGCGGTTCAAATTCAATTGTAGATTTCAAACACACCACAGGATGGATTCTGACTCGGTGAGTTGGAGGTAACTCATGACAGACTAAAAGAGGAAATCAAGCTAAACAATTCCCCCGTCCCTGTCCCTCTCCCAGTGAAAAGAAAAGAATTAAAACAACAAAATATACAAAGCAAAGTTAGAGCCAGCAAAGTATGCCAACGATAAGAACCATGACCCACAACAAGGTACAGAAAAATTACAGAGCAAGTAGCAACAGCATCAAAAGTTCAATGAGATCCACACCTTAATTTGTTTTCCAAGAAGAAGAGATTGGGCATTCCCCATCTGAATAGCCAGAGCTGCTTCAGCATGATTACTGTACCTCACAAAACCAAACCCTTTATCACGCTGGACACGAACCTCCTCTATCACGCCAGCCCCAAGAGAATGGAAGTGGCGATGGAGATCGAGTTGAGTTACCTGTGAATCACCAAGGTCATAATGAATAAAATAGCACCAGATATTGCTATAGAAGTCAACATAACAGCACACAAGTACACATGAAAGTTGTGTTAAGGAAAGTATTTGGAAGCTTATATATTCTTACATTTATAACCGAATAGTCAAAAGTGATAAAAAAAGCTAATAGAGGTAATAAGTGATGTTTGGGCAATGCAAATATAGGCAATGACGTTCAAAATTATTGCTTTTGTTGTGCATAAATCATAATAAGCTCGCAAACTTTTCAAGCAATTGGTGTTTAACGAAATTTTACTGCTCTAATAAAAAAAGACAGATAAAGTTCTTTACCTCTGAAGCAAGGTTACCCACATAAACCGTTGTATACTGAAGATTGTTCTCAGGAGCATCACTATTAGAAACCTCTTTACCATCTTCTGGACAAATAGGATAAAACATGTTGGTTAAATCATGCCTATATAACATCAGTTCACTGGGAAAACAGACAACAACTTGTACAAGCTCAATCATTCATAAAATCATTCTGAGGCATGATAGTTGAATCAGGGTACACATTGTGAATTGGAAGACCTAGTTTTCGAATCATTCGAATTGTATTATGAATTGATTCAAATCATTAATAAAAGATAATATTTATATGCATAAAAGACATAAAAACACAAATTCATGTTCAATGACTAATCATTCGTATTTTAGTTTCTAAAACATCTTATTTCTAAAAGAGATAAGAAAGCCTTATACGAATAAGGGTCCAGATATTAAAATTAATGCTCGAAAAAAAAATGATAAAACTGACATGTACGAAGGTTGCAACAAAATGCTAGAAACCACCCACATCCACCCTCTAATCAAGAATTAGAGAAGCTAAAAATAAAATATTTTAATTCAATGATCTCTATCATTGTTTCGCAAACAATGTCATACTGACCAGATGAGCCATTTGTTAGTTCCACCACACTTTTTGCATCTGAGTTTTGCTTCTCTTCTATACCACCAGCACCTTTAGTTGCCCAGTTACAACGTATTTGTCTACTTCCAAGCCATTTACCTGAAGGACAACGTAAATTGTTTTTGGACCAAAACAAGAAATACATGTGCATAAGAAAGAACATGTGAGCCTGTGACTCGTGCAATTACAAAATGCATATACTCGTAAGAGGTAGTTCTAAAAATTCGACAATACAATTTTCCGTCTAGAATGTAAAATACAAAAAGAACACTACAAGTCAAGATATCAATTCCTATAGAAGAAACTCAATGCACAATTCCTTGCTGTAACATCAATTTTGCATCAAGTGGTTTTGAAAAATCATTGGAGATTAATCTGAATTTAAAGTGGTTCAAGTCTAAGATTGTCAAGTTAATAACAAATTTCTTACCAGTCAAATCATTTATAGCGTTTTGTGCATCCTACAAAAAATTAAGAAAAATACCAAGTCAAAATCATCATAGAGCCTTGTTCCTTAAAATATTCAAGAGTTTAAGAACCAAAGTTGGACCTGTTGACTGCGGAATGAAACAAATCCAAATCCTCTTGAACGCCCAGTCTTCTGATCCCACATAACCCTTGCATCTCTGGGCCACCAAAAATAAATAATTGATGAGCCAAGCTACATTACAATCGAACTTGAAAAAATATCATGACAGAAGTATAATTTTTCTCTATTTTGGATTGATATAGATTGATTCAAAATGAAATACACAGAGGATGACTATTTTACTAAGAAATCATGAGTGAAACTTACGAACAACTGGTGTAGACAGAAAAGCATGCAAACAGTGTAGCATCAGTGACCTCAGGACTTAGATCACCAACAAAAATATTGTAATGACCTGCAAATAAAAGAGCACGGTATATAAGAGTCAAAAGATCCCAAAGGATGGGACTTAGTTTAAACATTAATATCAATTTATTTAATTT